CAAAAACTCTTAATTTGGCTCGTTTATCAAAATTAACTCAAGCTTTAACAAGCTAAACTAAGGTAATAGTTCAGAAAATAACATAAAAAATTCTTAATTCTTGAGCCTAAAGAATCTCAACGAATCAATTTGAGCTCGACCTCGTTAACTAAATGGGTCTATAAGCAAACTCAAGCGATCAAATGATCCGAGCCAAACTATATCCAAGTCGAGCTTATGAATTACTTGATTCATTTAACAACTCTAACTAAGCAGACAATAACTTATGTCGATAAAATTTGGGTATATCACAACTGCCATCGTATGATCGATCCAATTTCACAACTATATAGCTAAGAGCAAGCGTCGACTAACAAAACTTCATCCCTAAGCGTTTGAATACATCTCTTTTTTTTTTTTTTCAAATTACCATATTTTCATTAGAAAATGACATGGTTTAAAAATCAAAATAAACAGAAGACACTTATATGTTTTTGTTCACATACTATATCGGGCCGACCCGCCTAACAATTAGGCTGTCTCCAACAAGAATTTTCCCATAAATAAAAAACCAAGTATTGCATAAGTAGCTTATAAATTAGCAACTATATCAACTAATATGTCAATTTAATAGCTACTAATTTACAGTTAGTCTATGAGATCACTATTATCACATAACAGTCGGACAGTAGGCGGCGGCGCCAAGTATTTTTCCAAGTTGGCTTGCGAATGCGAGGTGAGTTGACCGCAAAGCCATGAAATAGTCAACAAATTAAAATGAAATCTAATTTTGTTGTAAAAAGTCGGGACAACTGTACGTTTTTATTAAGTGATTATTGAATATTGATGTCATTTTAAAAAATAAGGCATTTTTGTTGGCCATGTTAAAAATTAAATAGATGTAGATATATAAGCTATATGAAGTACTTTGAGTGAAAATAAAGTCCTTTCTTTTTAATTTTATTCATGTTATTAAATGTTATGTAGTACTTTAAGCGCTGTTTTCCTTACTTGAACAAGTCTGGGACCGGTTTGAATGATCCATTCGGACCGGATAACAAGGGACTCGATTGACTCGGATAATGGTTCGGCCGGATCAACTCGATTGATCTAGTCATTATGGATCTCTACATTCACCGCTTACTTTCATTCAATATGAATGCTTTTATTGTTTTGTTAAAGGGAACACATAAGGGGAAAAAAAAAAGTTTGAAAAAGAAATAGAAAAGAACAAAATGTAGACCCAAACAAGTTGCCAAATAGTGATGAAGTCCACATTCAAATGAAAAGTGAGAGAAAAGGAAACTGAGTCCTATGACCATTCAAGTAGAAAGAGTCAAAAGAAGGGAAGAGTCAACATAAATGTTTCAAAGTCCAAAGAAACGAAAAGAAGTAAAGCTCTCTTAATCCAGATGATCAGTGCTGCAGTGTGATTATGTCAACAACGGTTACTACAAGAACCAGTACTAGGGCTTAGAGACTAGAAGTTGAAAAAGTATGATTCTCATATATAGGGTTGCACACGAACTGGGCGGCTCGCGAACGCTCGAGTCAAAGCTCGGCTCCAGTTCGAATTTGACCGAATTCGAGTCGAGCTCGAGCCCAAATTTTTCATTGTCGAGCGACTCGCGAGCGGCTCGAGATATATGTTAATTACTAAAATACTTAATGTGTATATATGTATAATATTAATATATGTACTTAGTAGTAAATTTTATAAAATTGCTCGAAAATTTTCGAACCCAACTCGAGTCGAGGTCGAGCTATTGTATTTTTTTATCGAGTCGAGCTCGAGCTCGAACGTCTAAAAGAAAAAAATCAATCTTGCTCGATAAGGCCAATGCTCGACTCGTCTCGGCTCAACTCATTTGCAACCAACATTGATATTACATATACGACATAAACAAGATCCCGAATCTTATTAGATATTTTTAATATCGTGAGCAGCCCGTCGACACAATTTCTACATAAAAATCGTAACTTGAGTCTCGATTTGAATCATATTATTGCATCAATTTTCTACTTTCAAATTTATGAATTCCACGTAAGTAATGTTTAATATCAGTATCTACACAACACATACCAACAAAATACAAAAAAATCTAGTTAATTACAAACATATACATACCACCAAATTCAAACGTAATCATATATAACCTTGCAACATATTATACTTGCGAAATTTTTATTCATCACTCCTTCAAATCCCATGCACGACAAACTAAACTAATTAACTTAGTTTCTCCATTTTTTCCTCATCTTTTTTATCAAATTCTCATCAATCAATTTCTAAAACTATACCCAAAAATCCCACTCACAATTCACCTCATCATACTCATTATTAGTCCCTTCATCACCATTGCCCACCATCAAACAAGCATAAAGCTCCTCAAACGGCAAGCCCACGTCATCGTTGTTCAAACTCGAGCTGTCGCCACAACTCGACAGCTGGCCCGGGTCGCCCCGCGCCAACAGTTGGGCTTGGGCCTGTTGGGCGGCCTTGGACTCAGCCAGTTGTCCCAGACCAAACATCGTCTCGTGGGCTCGCCTCAGCTCCACCCGGAGGCCCTCGACTTCCCTCTCGAGCCGCTCCTTGTCAGCCAACACGGACTCGAGTCGAGCCTGGAGCGTGCTGTGGTCGAGCTCCAGGCTCTGGCTCCGCCACCTGGCACGCTTGTTTTGATACCAGACGGCGATCTGACGTGGTGGGACTCCGAGCTCGCGCGCTAGCTGGAACTTGCGCTCGGGCTCGAGCTTCCGGCCCGCGTCGAAGCTGGCTTCGAGGAGCCGGACTTGGTCTTGGCTCAGCCGCTTCTTTATGATCCTTGATGAGTTGGGTTTGGAGTTTTGAGAACCATTCATGTTTTTTTTTTTTTTTCTTTTCTTTTAACTTGCAATTGATGAAATGTTTTTTTTTGAAAGTTGAGATTTTTCTTTTTGGTGAATGAATGTATGTGGGTTGTGTGTGTTTGTGTTTATAAAGGTGGGAAAAATCAAGATTGATTGCAATTTGTGGGCATCACATATAGGGGTATTGATTTACATTAATTGAGGGTGATTTAAGTGGGGTTTGACAAAATTGAATCTTTAGCTTAAATTTAATATTATTATAGTTATATACATAAATATACATGAAGTGTGAAATTGAATGAGAGTGATTGATATATAGGTACTTGTAGCAATTTGTGGCTGACTTCTTATGCATGAGGAAATGTGTTCACGTGGGTTTGGTCCTACAAAGGGAGTCTATAATATATATATTTTTTTTTATGTGTATATTATCAACTTTAATTTAATTTGCATCTTATATCATTTGGTTGGGGATATGTATTTTGAATAAAATAGTTTATCCAATTTAATTAGTGAGTTGAATAATGGGTTAAAATAACATGGAATAGTGACTTCCAAGCTTGGGGCATGAACTTGGGTATGTTCTTGATTTGCATCAATGGGATGAGGCTTATATATATATATATATATATAAATAAATAAAAAATTGATCTTTTTGAATATTAAGATAGTATTTTTTATTTATTTAATATGGATATATCTATTTGGGGTATAAAGTGTTTGGTACTATGGTTATGTCATGATAAGAGTAAGGCTACCCTACTTGGAAACAAAGTTATTTCTACATATTTATGTGAAAACATGTGATAGATTTGGTATGGAGATAAGGGGCTTTGAGGGAAAGATATAAAAGATGGGCAAATCTATATTGCAAGTTGGAATTGTTTTAGTGTTAGAAGTCACAATCTATATCTCTGTTTTTCCTTTTATGAGAGAAAATGCCAAGGATTTTTTGTATGATAATGTTTCTCTTTTCAAATATCAAAAGCATAAAGAAAATAGAATAAAAGTTGATCAATATGTTATTCCAAATTAATGAAATGTGAAATGAAAAAAAAAAAAAAAAAAATCCCATTGTAATATTCTTCTGAATAAATTACTTCATCACTATCTTCACCCAACACCTTGTCCATTGTTGACGGTCGCAACCGTCAGCTTTCCCCACTTGGGGGTCGGATCCCCAGTGAGCTATAATTATGCACCGGGGACTTATGAATTTCTACAGTGCTCTTGTTCTAGGGTGAAAATCTATTTTTAGACTCTATGTAGTTTTTGTCCTCCCTAGACTCGAACTCTGCACCTTGAGCATAAGGTGAGGTTCATGGCAAGTCTGGTACCATTCAACCAATTAGGGCAAGAGTACTGTGAAAGTTCATGAGTCCCCGATGCATAGTCATGGCCCACAGAGGATCCGACCCCCCAAATAAGGAAGGCTAATGGTTACGACCGTCAACATCCATTTTTAACTTACTGACAATTTAACTAATTTACATTTAGCAAATGCCCTTTCGTCACAAATATTAGAATATTCAAACATACGAGCTTTTTCATCGTTGGATTTACATTTATTCACTGAAAATATAACCTTTATTTTATTTTTTATTTTTTTTTTCAGATTTTGTCTTGGATGACCATTTATTTATTTATTTTTCCATTTCAATAAAAAATTGTTGGACCTGGGGACCATCATCACATCTACATTTTTTCACGAAACACCTGAATGCATGCCCACAACCATTGATTCAATTTCTCTCTTTTTTTTTTTTGAAGAAAAAAAAAATAATAACAATGTTAGAGTTTAGACTTATTCGTGTAATGTCTCAATGTTTTTCTATAGTGCTGTAATAATTAGTTGCAAGTCCAATTCATTAAATTAATTTGTAATTGTTTTTGTACCAATAAAAACAAAAAAAAAAATTGTAATTGTTTGAGTAATGAGATTAAATCTAACATACTGATAAATAAAAGTCAACAATTTATTTGATGTACTTACTAATTAATGCATTTCTAGGGAAAGCCTTATAAGTTATAGGTTAATTATACTTTTAAAGCAAAACCATATACTCTAAGAAAAATATAAGTATGAATTTGAAGTAAGTCGTTATATACATTATCCATAACTTTTTTTTTTTTTTTTTTTGGTACAATGACCTTTCGGTTTTCGGATCCACAGGGAACCGACTAATCCGAAATCGAGTCGGGTAGGACCACAAGGGCGACAAAGCTCTCCCTCAAGAGTTTTAACACTGCTGCATTCTCAGAGCTCGAACACGAGACCACTGGTTAAGCTGGAAGAGACCCAAGCCATCTCATCCAAGCACTTTTGGATACATTATCCATAACTTTAAATCCTATATATTGTATTTCATGGACCATTACATTACAATTGCCAAAAAAAAAAGGAAAACCATTATATATATGTCCCCAATTTTTCCCAAATATCTTCAAAAATAGTAATGAAATTACAGGCCATTTTTCATTTATTTTTCTCCTGATGATCAATTTATGGTACGGATCATAAATTTGCCACCGACATTCCAATAATACCCCTCGTAAGCCCACAAAAGTTGGACGCCGCCGGCAAGTTGTGCATCAGCAGTTACTAAGAAGGTTTGAAGACTATATTGGTATTTAGCGGCGGCGGTCTTCCCTAATTAGACCGGAACTGAACCGTTTGTTTTATTTGAGATTAGGAAAATATTTCGTCCCCAAATTGAACTATGCTCGTTTTTTGCTTTCGCACTCATAAGTATTATATAGGGAAATGTTACAGTTTCATTACATAATTATTCTGTTGGGATTTATAATAGATCATAGTGTAATCGTCATGGATGATTGATCTAACGATTACAAACGAAACAATAGAATCTTCCTATTGTATATTTATTTTGAATAAAAGACAATATATGCTACATATATTTCATATATTGCAAATCTCTGACCGAAAAACGTTAAAAGGTATATTGAAAACTGAACCGATCGGTAACTATTAGTTTGTTTGTGATTCTAGAAATTATATTTAATTTCAAGAGAAAAAAAAAGATTGTTAATACAAAACTAAACCATTTTTTTTCCTTTTAAAATGTTAAAACTAGTTTAATAAATGAAATAAACAATGTGTTTTTCTACAAACTTTGAATTGATTGAGCTTAATAGATTGGGATGGGTGGGAGTCACTATACCCTATACCTCATCCCATTCCCTAATTTGGTGAATTATATATATTGAATTCAATTTTATCTTGCAATTTGGGTTCTGACCTAATGTAATAGTTTTATGTTTTAGTCGTCAATTCTGCAATAATAAATATATATATATAAGTAGTAAATAACTAAATAGTGATATAATCCATTTATTAAGTATTAATGCATCTAGGCCCTATATATGTGTATTTATTATTATATGTGCAATGTAATATCATTTATGCATTTTATATCTTCTCAATAATGTAATTATAGTAGTTTTAATTGACAATTTGATACACTAATATGTGTATATTAATGTATCTATAGGTATATAGTTGAGAGAAAGGTCCACCTTGTAACAATTTCCCTATACATACATAACAAATTGAAACTATAGTTTCATTTATGAGGTATCATGTGTTTGTAACCAAACAAAACCGATTGAATAGAATTGATACTCAATCGTGCCCTTAGAGTTTTTGTCTAGTAATATATTGAGGTCCGAAATTAGTCCAATAACTAAAATTTTTGAGTTACTGGACCAAATTAGCTAATATATAAGAGTTACTGGATTAATTTCAGACCCCAATAAGTTAATGAGCAAAAATGAGAAACACTATAATTTAGTGGACCAAAACTATAATTTTTTTCGAACACATTCATGTTTACTTAATTGTCAACTAGACTACATTTTGACTGATTTACGTTGTGTGCACAGATGCAGATCGATGCATCCAACGGTTGGAAAATTAACCAACATTTGAACAGAAAACACACACTAGCTGGGCTCATACATGCAAGGACCACCGCAAACTGTGTGTGATTTAAAATCTGGGCCAGTTGCTATATTTGTTTTGGAAGCTCAATCAAATTGGTTGTAATTAATTTGGTGCATGAACTAAAAATGTTTTGATCGTCAGATATGTTAGGTAAAGTGGTGGGGAATTGGTTTGCTACCCCAACTGCATGCAAATATTGACACTTCAAATAAAAATAAATAAATAAAATTGGATATTAATTGAACTAAATATTTAAATTAAAAACTTACATCTTTGTATTTTGACTACGTAAATTAATTAAACTGGATTGTGAATTTTATTATTTAATAGCTCAATATCATTATCTGGATTAAATTATTTATTCATACGTCGCGTATGTAATAATTTTTTAATATCAAATTAACGTACACAACAAACAATGTTATTTACGATATGCAATATAAGTACCAAAATGCAATTCGTTACATAGCATGCATTTTGAAAATTTGGTTTCGGACCTTACAATGAGGTAAAGTGAGTTACTGTGAATAAAGTAGATTTAATGGATTATTTTGAGTTTGAAATTAAATAATATTTTAATATTTAATGATAAATTGATGTGATATAAAGTAGAATAAAGATTATTTGAAGTGATAGGTAGCTAAAATTATGTGAGTGTGAGAACAGTTAATTAATGCTGATGTTATGTGTGAGAAAGATTAATTGATTTTTATTATTTTATTATTAAAAATATGAGAATTGACACTACAAGAAAACACTTCAATTCTAACGAAAAATTCCAACGGTAAAATTTCCGTTGGAAATTCCAATGAATATTCCAACAAACTTAATTTTATGTTGGAAAAAGTGTTGGATGGTTGAGGAATTCCAACGGATTTTTTCCGTTGGAATAGCTGTAGGAATTTATTTCTATAGGATTTTCCGTTGAATTTTAGCTATTCCAACGACCGTTTTTCTTACGAATTTTTATACGTAGGAATATCCGTTGGAATTCCTATTCCAACGGATATATAAAGAATTCCAACGGAAATTTTCCGTTAGAATGTAA